TTTAGTTTCCTTTATAAACTAGAAATAAAACCAGTGAGCTCAGAAGGGTCTTGGGAGCAGAGCTGGAGTCCACCGCTCAGAGGCCTGGCATCAGAGCAGTGTAACAGAGGGGGAAATGCGACACAGTAAAGAGGAGTAAGGGGGCAGTCATATGCAGGAGCAGGGAGTGGAGAGCATAGAACTACCAGAGAGTGTGGGTAGTAATGATAATACCCCTAGGCCTTTCCAGCTGAAGATCTCAGAGTGCTTCATGAACTGCAGGCAGTTAAGCATCATACAGATGGAGAAAAAGAAGCACAGAGAAAGGCTGGGCACTAGCAAGAAATTAGAAACTATGTGTCCTGATTGCAGGTCCCCTAGTGAATGCTGCCCTCCCCAGAGCTGATAGGCAGCAGACTTACCCTGTGATCCTGAGCCTCCCACACATCCTCCCAAGGAAGGAAGATGCAGATGACCTGAAAGAATAATGACCAATTCTGTACACGGCTGGTTAGCACCAGCTCTCTGTGTAGGTGCTCTGTATTATCCAAGCCTCTCACAAGCATCAGTGAATGAATCCTCCCAACATGCCTGGGTGGTAGCAAAGTGCAATTTTCCTCCATTTGCAAATGGGGAAACTGAGGCACAGAGAAAGTAAAAGACTGGCCCAAGATCACAAAGGGAGACTGTGGCAAAGTCAACTATGAAACCCAGATCACCCAAGTCCCATGGCGATGCTCCCCCAAGACCAGCCTTCTTCCCTAGCCTCCTTTTGTGTTGTGCAGAAAAGGTCCATGCCCTGGACAGTTGGTGACCATGGAGATCCATGACCTTGAGGCATCCCACAAATAGTATAGTGACTTCTAAGGTGAAATGAGTGAAAAGGGCCACTCCAGAACCATCATCAATACACTTCTCAAAAATTTCAGACGGTGCTTTGTGCAGGAACATTGGCTGGTTAAGTGTATGCTTTAGTCCACATCTATATGTATTGATTCTGCGATGTAACCCTTTACCCCTCACTCTGTAAAGTACTGCTTTTATTTTCCTCCATAAAATAATGTTTTCTCTTGCTTGCTTAGATGACACAATTGTGTACAAAGTCCAGAATCTTCAGTGGATGGCTGATTTTTCTGGTGATGTCACTGTAACGTGGGCCCGACCTAAAAAAATGTCCTCAGCATCCTGTGTGTATAACATATATTACAGGTAAATTGCACAAATCGTTATTATTTTTTAAATTGGATGAAGTGCGAGAGTAGCACTAGCTCCATAGTGACTCCTCTTCTTTAAAGTGAGGTAGATACAATTCTATGATTTTTTAAATTTAAAGCAGTTTTTTTATTTTGTTATTTAAAATATAAGTTTAAAAAATTGCTTAAAATGATATCTGTTAAGTATTAGTATGTTATAATCTCTTAAAATATTCAAATAAAATTTAAATACAATTTTAAATATGCTCAGTCCATGAGCTCTATCAAAAATATTGAGTTAAAGGCTACTTTTATGTGTAAAGAAGAATCAGGGAGATACTCCTAATTTTCGAGGTCATGCTTAATATTTATAATGCATTAAAGTCAGTCTAAGTAGCATAAGAGACTGTCTCATTTTCAAGAGACGATGTTGAGAGTAAGCACTTAAACACTACTTTCACTTACACATATTTGAAACATTTCCCAGGCTAACCTGAAATAATGTTTAATCAACTGTTAACCCCTCAGTTTTATAAATGATGTACTGGTAAATGTGAAACACTTTTTGATACAATAAATGTATGCATTCAAATTATATAAGATTGCTTTGTCTAATAAAAAAATTGTAGATGCTGTTTTGTGTTTAGTTTAATTCCAGTTACCATGTGACTAATAAACTAAAAGTTTTATCATTTACAATTTTCTAAAATACTAATATGTACAATTAATAAGGATATGAAAATGCGAAGCTACACAATTCCTTAAACAAATGTATATAGTTCTAGAGAACCCTTCAAGATAAAAATGTACCAAACCTCGTTAAATGCTCTATTTAGTTGTAAATCAGCATGCTTTAATAGTTATATCAACTAATGAGGGTGCACCGCACTTTAGTAAATAACTCCTGTACAAATGGAAAAGTTGATTAAAATAGATTTAAACTGCGTTTTCCACTTGGTGATTTAAATAACTGATTTACTATGGCAAAATGCATAAAGTGAAGAGTCTGGAAAGCATAGAGACAAATAATTTGTCTCTAATCTCTTTTGGGTAAAGCCATTTCAAGTCCTAGTAACAATAATGGGGACACATTTTTTCAAGCAGAAAAGAGACTTTTAAGTTGACTTTACAAGGTGCTTAAGGGAACACCTCCCTTTAAACCAGGGTGGAGTGAAATCAGTTTAAAGGTAGGCACTCCCATAAATACTCCTGTTTCCCCCCTACCCCTACCACTCAGTCCACTGGGATTCACAGGCTGGATTGCACAACTGCTCTGGCCCACGATGGCCTGCCAGCCAGGAGTTTAAGACCCCTGGCTTAGTCAGATCTTCTGTATAACACATGCCCATAGATCTTCTCCAAAATAATTAATGTGTAAACTAGATCATACCTGTTTTTTAAAAAGCCAGTTGTGAATTAAAAACTGCTGGTAATATAGAATCCACCATTACCCTTGAATTTGACTAGCTTCAACTTCTTGCCATTTGTGTATAGTCAGTTTCCCCTTTTGCGTGG